TTTGGTTGAGAAAGTCGAACCACTCTAAATCGCTGTGCAATTACTTTCAATTTTCTGCAAAAGCTTCCACAAGGAGTTTGAACAAGAAGATAAACTACAAAGAAAATAAGATGATGATAGCGCTGAAAAGTTAGAGACTACACAGATACATGTGGAAAAGGAGTTTGAACAAGGAGATTCTTCTGAAGCAGAACCAACACATGATGAACAAGAACCAAAGAGTTCTGAAGGTCCAACAACTCGTCAATTAGATCGTGTGAGAAGATGTCCCAATTGAAACTCATATTATGTTATAGAAGGAAATGTTGCATATTGCCTCTTAACAGAGGACGGTGAGCCATCAATATTCCAGGAGGCAATAAAAACTCATATGCTTCACTGTGGATGATGGCGATACAAGAATAAATTGAAGTCCTTCATAAAAATAATACATGGGACCTTGTGCCACTACCACAAGAAAGGAAGCCAATTGGTAAAAATGAGTCTTCAAAATCAGCGAAATAGTGACGATCAAATGGAGAGGTATGGTGCAAGACTGGTGGTAAAAGGATATGCTCAAAAAGAAGATATTGATTTCAATGAAATCTTTTCTCCTATGGTTCGACTAACAACAGTTCGAGTAGTCTTGGCAATGTGTGCTACATTGAACTTACATCTAGAGAAGCTAGATGTTAAAACAACTTTTCTTCATGGAAATCTTGAAGAAGAGATTTATATGCTCCAACCTGAAGGTTTTGAAGAAAAAGAAAAGAAGAACTTGGTTTGCAGGTTGAACAAATCTCTGTATGGTCTAAAGCAGGATCCGAGGTGTTGGTATAAGAGATTTGATTCCTTCATTATGTGCCTTGGATACAACAGACTTAATGCAGACCCTTGCGCTTATTTTAAGAGGTTTGGTGATAACGATTTTGTTATATTACTGTTGTACGTGGATGACATGTTGGTTGCAGGACCCAATAAAGATATTGAAGAATTGAAGGCACAACTGGCTAGGGAATTTGAAATGAAGGACTTGGGATCAGCAAACAAGATTCCGGGGATGCAAATTCACCGAGACAGAAGTAATAGGAAGATTTGGCTTTCACAAAATAATTACTTGAAGAAGATCTTGTCACGATTCAACATGCAAGATTGTAAGCCAATTTCTACCCCTCTTCCTATTAACTTCAAATTATCCTCCAGTATGAGTCCTAGCAGTGAAGAAGAGAGGATGGAGATGTCTCGAGTACCGTATGCATCAGTAGTGGGAAGTTTAATGTTCGCTATGATATGCACAAGACTAGAAATTGCACAAGCAGTGAGAGTGGTTAATCGGTATATGGCGAATCCATGCAAAGAGCATTGGAATACAATAAAGAGGATATTGAGATACACCAAAGGGACCTCAAATGTTGCATTATATTACGGAGGATCAAATTTACTTATCAATGGGTATGTTGATTCTGACTATGCAGGGATTTGGATAAAAGCAAATCTACTACAGGATATATGTTCAAAGTTGCAGTAGAGCTGTAAGCTGGGTTTCAAAATTGCAGTAAGTTGTGGCTACATCACAACAGAGGCAGAATATGTAGTAGTTACAAGCCAGTAAAGAAGCAATTTGGTTGAAGATGCTATTGGAGGAGTTTGGGCACAATCAAGAGTATGTCTTTCTATTTTGTGACAGTCAAAGCGCCTTGCATCTAGCAAGGAATCCAACATTCCATTCAAGGACAAAACACATACGAGTTCAGTACCATTTCATTCGTGAAAAGGTGAAAGAAGGGACGGTAGATATGCAGAAGATCCATACCAAAGACAATATAGCATATTACATGACGAAAGCGATCAACACTGATAAATTTACTTGGTATCTATCCTCTTGTGGCCTGACAGAAATATAAGCAACATGAAGGTACAAGGTAGAAAGAATAGTGTGAAGATATGATTGTTTCAATCAAATATTCAAGTGGGAGATTGTTGAAAGTCATAGCAGCCGGCGACTACTTTTGGTCAAAATTAGGCAATTATTTTTGTTGAATTAAGTAAGGGATAATTACAACATTTAGTCCTTGAACTTTAGGATATTTACAAGATTAAATCCTTAATCTTCAACTATAAATACCCTATCCCATTAAGCTTCAAAACCATCCTAAATCATTATAGCTTTCTCCCAATAGTAGAGAATTTAGAGAGTTTCTTGAGAGTTGTTTCCTTGTTAGATCGAGAGAAGTTGTAATTCCTATTTTCTCATAGTGAAATTCTTTTATCGTTGCCCGTGATTTTTACCCTATATTATTTAGGGGTTTTCCACGTAAAATTTGTATCTTCTTTGTCTTCATTTTTATTTTCTCAAATTATCAGTTGAGATTTTGCTCTATCCTATAGCCGTATTCCGCAAGATCATGTAATCGAGGACGAAATTCATGTGCTCCCCACTTTAGCATTTCAAGTCACCGTATTTCCAAATTCTGGATTTGCCTTGGGTCAACTTATTGTCACGCAGCAGTTGTTGATGGCAAGTCGTTCACGCATTTTAGGAGGTCTTGGACGTCTGTTCATAGGTCGAATGACAAACGACTAGCCATTAAACAATTAAGAATTGTCGAAGTCCTGTAAAATAAAAACTGATTTTTACTAAATTAACTTGTAATAATAGTGAGATCAAGTCAACTTCCAAGCGAACTAAAATTAGAATCTCATTGTTAAAGCAAAAAGTTAAATGGGTACTTCATTTGACTTCCAATTCAAAGGTGTGTCTGACTGTAATTTTGATCATAGGCTTAAAAGATTGATTTTCAACATCCAAGTAATTAGTCATTTGCTCAGAACTGTAACAAGTATGATTCCTTTTTTATAATTGATAACAAACGTTCAAATCAAATCTTACCATTAATGATAGCATTATAAATCGTGGGACGACTAAAACAAAATCAATTGATTTTGTACCTTTATTTCCCCAGAGACTATCACGCGTGACGCAAAGCTCGAAAAACAAACCCGTAACAAAAACAAATCATGAGACTTACCCCTTGCTACTTGTGTCAATCGTTCATGACTATTACAAATCACAAACTTATGAATAGCGATAGAAAACTCAATATCGAATTAAGGCGTCAATTTAACCAATATCAGAACAAATAAAAATAAGAACAAGAAATAACGATTACTTGAATTAAAGGATAAAAACTAGTTTAGCACAAGTCTCACAAAATTACAACGTAATTATCTCACCTTGAATCGGAGATAAAAGCTTAGTCAGTCATGGTGGAAAGAAAACAAAAGAGAAATAAGTTGTGTTGCTAAAAGATCTCCTAAAAGGTGGCTAAGAAGCTCTTATACAGGGAGCAACACCCTAGAATTAAAGTAAATCTCCTTTAAATGAGTCTAATTCAAATAAGAAAAGCTAGAATAAAGGAAAATCAAAATAAATAAAGTCCTACTTAGAAAGAGATTGATTCTGGACAAGATACTTTCAAAATAATGGAAGTATCCATAAAAGTGAGCTTCATCCCGGATTTAACTCCAAAAATTTAAATTCTTCATGTAACACATGTCAGTCATAAGACGTGGTCATACCTTATTTAAGATAACATTTTGTCCAAGTCCACATACTCCCAAAAAAAACTTTATTCTCACATTGAAAGTTAAAAACATACTTTTGAGCTTATTTTCACTATTCCATCTATGTTTCACCGTCTAAATCAAAACAAACATAATTTTCACAATTAGGCTTAACTTCTAACAAGAATACGAAGGAATTAATCATAAAAAGATTAACGCATCAACTCTTCAATGGAGCCAACAAGAAGAATTACGGAGGTCGGCTAAGGATCGAAGGCGAGATCAGAAAGGAGACCAAAAGCTTTACCGACATCTTTACTCACAGACAAATTGTTGAGCTCGAGCTGGGTAAGGTTCATAATCGCCTTGATAGCATCAAAGTAGTTAAAAATGTATAGTTATTGCTTGAAATTGCTTGGACCCACATTGCAAAAATAAAGCCTAGCTATTTCGCGGCACTGAAAGTGTAACCTTCAGGATACCCATTAACACTTAGTTTCAAGCTTTGTTAAGAAAAGGATGTTGAGAAGAATTTGAATACTTGAGGGTGGAACTTTAAGGAATTTATAACTAATCTAAGAACCTATTACGTGGAATAAAGCTCGGAGACGATTGAGGGGGTGGGTTTTGTGAATTATTGGAGTTGGAGCTACTGGGTCGTGAGATCGGGTTCAAAAAAAGCAGAGAAAGTATTTAAAGAAAGTCTCATGTAAGTTATAGCCTTGAACACAGGGGACCGCAAAAGGGTTTTAGGATCAAAGGTCAAACGCAACAAATTCCTATCTGCTAAGTTCTGGATAAGGACGTAACCCATGATTTTTGAAACACTTTTAAACTCTTGATTTTGCTGAACAAAACGTTGGTTGTATCGTAAAGAACCATGGGAATTTTTTTTTTCAGTTTGATCTTTGTTTTATTTAGTGTTCGAAATATATTGTAGAATTTAATTTTTGGGATTCAATTAAAGAGGAGACAACAGGAGAAGGAGAAAGAGGAAAAGAGTGAAAGAACGTAATGATGTGATGTCAATAAGTTAACGTGTCACATCAGTATTTTATTATTGTAGTAATGTTGTTAATGATCAGAGATCAATTTATCATAAATCGATACCGTTAGTAATTAATTTATTATTTTTAAAACTTCAATAGAAAAAAACGAAAACTTACTCTACCATCTACAACTTCAGCAGATGTATATGAATGAATCCAAAATTCATTTTAAAACGCAAACATGTTGCGAAGCTTCAAGAAAAAACAATAAAGTCGAATCAAACACGAACCTGACAAAGTTTAATGGCTCATGCCATTGGAATTGTTTAAAACTGAAAATTTAACAGTCACAGATCCAATCTGTGAAAAGTTGTTCTCCAACTGGGATTATTAGCTGATGGCAGTTTTAACTGGGAAATATATGAAGATTTATTATATTGTATTGTATGATGATCTTGAAGAACTTGTTTAACCCTCGTTGTCGCCATCGACTTTCCTTTGCTTTGAAGGCCTTTCGGCTTCGAGTTCCATTTCCGCATCATCCGAATCTTCACCATCAACACCCGGTTCTTCATAATCATTGTTCGTCCTTGATAAATCTTCTTTCTCACCTGTAAGGATGCACATAAGATTTTATGTTAAAAGAATAAATTTTAAAATTTTAAAGTATGAAAACATATTATAAATATAAAATATTGAGGAAATATCTTAAAATATATATACAAATAATTTAAAATTTTAAAGAAAATGATTGTCTCAACCACTCCCTCCTTCCATTCCTACTCACCTAGTTCCTCTGCATTAGAATCCTCATACTCTCTCATCTGCTTCGCAATCAGGTTCTTCAGCTCCATGTTTACCTGCTTTTCATGATTGATTTACATTAGAATGAACATATAATATCTTAAATTATTTTAAAAAATCATAGATTATGCTTATTTCGAATATATACCTGTAAGTTGTTCAAATGGTCGGATAAATCAAAAGTGCAATCAAGAGCAGGGCATGTCATGACATTCTTTTTATAGCGGAGGGTCCGACCACCTGCATTTCTCTCCCTCATAAATGATATTCCGGAAAATGCAGCTTCTAAGCATGACTTGCAGAAATTATGACCACATGGGGTTGTTAATGGCATATCCAGCACTTGATCACAGATCCCACAACCAAAATCTACAACAACAAAAAGGTTTATTTGCCATTCAAAGCTTGAACTTTTGAGATATATAATTCTGCTTAATTTTCCAGAAGGAATTAAAAGTTTAACCTTTTTGAAGCCTCTTTCTACCGGCTACATTCAGTGCTTGCTTAACTACAGTGCTGCTCCTTGGCATCTTCCGGGATTCAGAACCGCCGGTATTTTCTTTTTTCTTGCTCATTGGTGGTGGTTTCATCCACTTCCAGCAGCCATTAACATCCTGAAAAACAACAATGATAGCCCAAGATGACAAAGAAAACCATGCATGTGAATTGTACACACACACAAACATATATATGTATGTTTATACTGACATCAAAGTCCCACGCCGGGCTTTCTTTTCTCTCGGTTATATCGGATGCCTTTTCAAGCTCTTTAATAAACGGCAAAGGTCTAGGGAGATCGCCATGCATGTCACTACAGTGGAGGTAAGGCAAATATTAAGAATTCATAAACGGAAAAATAATCAAACTATATCAACGTATAATAAGACAAGTTCAATATAGTTCAACATTGACTACTTCACATACGAGAAAAACAATAATAATTCATAAACATAAAGATCATGAAAGATACAAATACACAATATCTCATGTATCTTAAAATAAACTTAATTACTAAATCATCTCTATCTACTAAAATTACAATAAATCCAATTTAATTATTAATTAAAATTTGAGTCAATATGTAGCCGTAAATTAAACGAAAAGAATGCATATAATCAAACAGTTAATCGGCAAATACAGTAGAAGCAAGGCGAGAACCTGGTCCATGGAGCAGGATCATTGTCACACCTAACGATTAAATATCGGCAGACCTTGAAGCCCTGCAGAGAGAAGTGTTCATCGCTGAAATCAAGATATGTGTATTTTATAGAAGAGAAAATAAGAATGTTGGATTTTGCAAATACTTGAACTCCAACAGTTCTCCAGCATTTTTCAACTCTGTAAATGCCGTCATAACGTAACCCTTTTTCAGGAGCATATGAAGAATGTTTGTCCTTGTAAGACCTGTTCATCACCACAAGATTATATCAACGGATTGAAACAGCCTAAATTTTCAGACACCTGAACATTTCTATGGATTAATGACCAAATACAAATTTTGTAATATTAATAAAAAAAACAAGTTTTCATATTGAATTGAACCCATTAAATGATATCAATGGTTAAATGTAATGTTATTTTCCCTAAAGGTCTCGAATTCGAATAAATATCTGTAGAGTCTGTGCATTCCCAATGACTAAGAAAAATTAACAAATATTATCTTATAATTATTTTAGACTCAAGAAGTCACTGGGTTCAAAAGAGGTTATCTCCTTGTAAAGTATCTTGGGGTACCTTTGGTGACAAGGAAGCTTAATGAAAAGGATTGTTTGCCATTGTTGGAGAAGATTAGGGGGAAGCTTGATAAGTGGTCTCATAGGAAGCATAACTATGGTGATCGGTTGCAATTAATCAAAGCTGTGTTTTTTAGTGTTTTTTATTATTGGAGCAGGCAACTCATCTTGCCTAAGTCAATGATTTTACAGATTGAGCAGATTTGTATGAGGTTTTTCTGGAAGGGTCATGATGCTTCTGCTAGAGGAGTTCGGGTGAATTGGACTTAGATATGTTCTTTGAAATCTAAGAGGGATCTAGGTTTAAAAAGCTTGCTCTGCTGGAGTAAGGTGTGTCACTTGTTGTTGGTAAGGAATATCCTTGTTGATGAGAGATCCCTCTTGGTGGCTTGGATCAAGGAGTATGTGTTGAAGGATGTTAGTTGCTAGCAGGTGGAGTGCAAGCCTCACTTTAGTTGGATTCTCAAAAAGTTGCTGAAGTTGAGGGGTGAAGCGAGGACTTTGTTTGACTCTAGTCTGAATTGGGCTCTAGTTAACTACAAGCGGATTTGGGAGAACACTAGAGTTGCAAGGGATAAGGTGAAGTGGTATAGATTAATTTGGTTTCCTTCTCATATCCGTAAGCATTCCATTATTGCTTGGATGACCATTTGGATAGGATGCCAACTAAGGATAGATTAGCTCGGTTTGGGACTGTCACTGACGGTTTGTGTATTCTGTATGGTGTTGATATGGAGTCAAGAAGTCATTTGTTCTTTGATTGTTCCTTCTCCAGGAGAGTTTGGGAGAGAATCTTGAGTGTTTGCAGATTGCATTACAGGGGTTTGTGTCGGGATGATCATTTCCTGTGGGCAGTGGATATATAATTTGAAGGGTGGTTCCCTTTTTGTTCGTTTTCTTAAGCTGGCTTGGACAAGATTCTTATATTGTATATAGGAAGAGCATAGTCATCGCTTGTTTTGAGTTTCTAGTCGTTCGATAGATTCAATTATTGATTGTGTAGTGATTGGGGGATTTTGTAAGGGTTAACTGTGTAGGCTTGACTGTGGTGTTTTGAGGTTTTTTGTTTGGTTAGCCTGTGATGGTGTTGAATCTGTTTTTTTTTTTTGGTGTGGTTGGTCAGATGTAGCAGTTAGGCTGCTTTCTCTTGGATAATATATGCACAAACTACTTATCCAAAATAAATTATTTTATACTATTTAAAAATAATTTTTTTATATTGAATCTCATAGGATAATCCAAAGAGGGTAACTAATCTTTTCAACTTAGACTAAGGGAACTATGATATTGTACTTGTACAATACTATGAATGATGCACGTTTAAAATTAGTCATTTTGGATAAGAAAATAAAGTTGATTTTTGAGATTTAAACATCAATTGACTTGCGATGGATTTTCAGATGAAATTCAAACATTTCTAAGTTAAGATATTTTCTTAAAAAATAAAAGTTATCGGTTACCTTTCTAATGTAACTTGAAACGTCTCAATCGGACGTCAGAAACTTAAGATATGTTTGTTTTAGCAAAGATATTGTAGTCCCAATACTAGCTTTTTTAATAATTAAGAATTTTTAATATTTATATTAATTATTTGTAATTAAATTCATATTATAACTTTTTATTTTGTTTTCGATAAATTATGATCAGATTTAATATTTGTTTTATTAAATTATTTTTTTGAATAGCTTGAGTTGATTATAAGGTAGTATCTGATCATAATATTTCTTAATTATTGACATCGCATACACTCTGCAGGCATAACTGTTCGAACTCATTATCTCATACAACACAATTCATAAATAAATCTATATTTTCCTCCTAAGTTCTTTGTGAGAGTTCTTTTATTTGTTTAAGATTCTTATTTTTTTTTGTTTAGGAGTGTAAGGACCTAATTGTATTGCGGTAAATTAAGATATTCTTCTCCATCGTGTAAATTGCTAGGGTGAAATAGCCTTAGTTGGTTGCGCGTCTATCTTTTATGGTTCAAGGTCTTCTCTAGTTTGTTAAGTCGAAATATCTTTATAGGACAGACATTTCATTTATCTAGACGTAAGTTCTTAATGAGATATAAGGTTAGAGTTTGACTCGAATTCGAAATGACATAAATTAATTAATATATATAAATATTAGGAAATTAGGAAACCCAATTTGGTTAAAAGTAGACAACTTTATTAAATTATTTTCTACTTTATTTAGTTTTCTTTTGTAATCAAGTATCTATACCTATAAATAGATATTAAGGGTCAGAGTTAGAAATCAAGTTTTCTTTCACCAAAATCCTCTTGTATTTTCTTCCTTCATATTAGTAAAATTCTTATCATCTGCTCGTGGTTTTTCTCTTTTGGGTTTTCCACGTAAATTTTGGTGTTCTTTATTTTTCTTTTTCGATCGTATTTTATTCGTTTACCGATAATCATTTTTCTAATATTATAACAAATTGGTTTCAGAGCTTCGAGTTTAAGATTATGACAACAATGAAGTATGATATTCTGCTGTTGAATCAAAACATCAGGTTCTCGCTATGGCAGGTGAAAATTCGAGATGTTCTTGCACAATTAAATCTTGACGATGCAATAGAAGTATTTGATGAGAAGCCGGAAACACAATGGACGAATGAGGAAAAACGTAAAGATCGTAAAGTTATTTCTCAGATTCGTTTACACTTTTCAAATCAAATTTTGTAGGATGTTGAAAGAAAAAACAATTGCATCTTTATGAGTGAAATTAGTGCAACTTTGCATGCAAAAATCATTGACCAGTAAGTTGCACCTAAAGCAACGTCTTTATTCGCTCAAGTTGGCGGAATGTTCGTCTCTTGAAGAGCACATGACCACATTCAAGGAAATCATTTCTGATCTAGAGACTTTAGAAGTGAAGTATGATCAAGAAGACTTAGGACTGATCCTCCTATGTTCGCTGTCTCCTTCCTACTCGTCTTTCAGAGATACAATCTTGTACATTCACGAAACACTAACTCTTGAAGAAATTTACAATGACTTGCACTCGTTTGACAAGATGAAACATTTTGTATCTGGTTCTGAGCCCCAGGCAGATTGTCTTGTGATGCATGAATCGACTAGCTTAGACAGTGGGAGAAAATGCAAACATTCTTCTAATAATTTTGGAAGGGGTAGATCAAAATCTTCCAATCAATGTAAAACTTTTTACTATTGTAAAAAGAAAGGTCATGTTAAATCGGAGTGTTACAAGTTGCAAAATAAAATCAAAAGAGAACCTGAAGAGCAAAAATCTAGAAAATTTAGTGAGGTCGGTATAGTAGAGAAGTAGGATGACGGAGAACTCTTAGTTGCGGTTGACGAAAATTTATACCAGGTGATGAGTGGATGCTTGACTCTGGTAGTAGTTTTCATATGAGTCCTAATCATGACTGGTTTACGACGTATGAAGTTGTTTCTATAGGTGATGTATTTTTGGGAAATAATATCCCTTGTAAAGTCGCAGGTATTGGCACAATCAAGATTAAGATGTTCGATGGGATTGTTCAAACACTTGGTAATGTGAGACATGTTCCAGATTTGAGTAGAAATCTAATTTTGTTAGGTACTCTTGATTCAAAAGGGTACAAGTCCTCCAGTGACGGTGGAGCTAAAAAAATTTGCAAGGACTCTCTTGTTGTTTGAAAGGGCAGAGAAAAACTATTAAGTTTTATGTTCTATAGGGTTTAACAGTTTTAGACAATGCAGTTGGTGTTTTATTCACCGTGTCAAATAACGTTGTTGAACAAAATAACCGTGGGCAGAATAGTTATGTGAAGAAGAAAAGAGTTCAATTTCGTGAACATAATGAATTTGAAGATATAATTATCATTGATGAGGATTGCGATGCACGTGATATTGCTCTTGGTTAAACATTTGTGAGCAAAGTTGACACTTATGATAACCATGTTGATGTGAAGACTAAATCCAACCCTAGAAAAAGCTTGGATTCGGTTGGTGTCCATTACTGAAGATTACCCCTTTGAGGGGTGTTGTGGAAGAGATAGAGAACTTGTTCGTTGAAGTGAAGAATTGTTTTTGTTGAGTTTGAGTGTCACATCGAATTTGAGTGTTTTGTCTCGTTATGTAAAGCAGAAAAGAGTTCAATTTCGTGAACATAATGAATTTGAAGATATAACTATCATTGATGATCGAGATTGTGATATGCATGATATTGCTCGTGGTGAAACATTTGTAAGCAAAGTTGACACTTATGATAACCATGTCGATGTGAAGACTAAATTTAAGCCTAGAAAAAGCTTGGATTCGGTCGATGTCCATTACTGAAGATTAACCCTTTGAGGGGTGTTGTGGAAGAGGTGGAAAACTTGTTCGTTGAAGTGAAGAATTATTTTTTGTTGAGTTTGAGTGTTACATCGAATTTGAGTGTTTTGTCTCGAAACCTTTGCACTTTCAGAATTCGTGTCAAGCTGGAGATTTGTTAGAGTTTGACTCGAATTCAAAGTGACACAAATTAATAAATAAATATTGGGAAAGTAGGAAACCCATTTTGATAAAAAGTAGAAAATTTTATTAAATTAGAATTTTACTTTATTTAGTTTTACTTTGTAATCAAGTATCTATCCCTATAAATATATACTAAGGGTCAGGGTTAGAAATCAAAATTTTCTTTCATCAAAATCCTCTTGTATTTTTTCCTTCATATTAGTGAAAT